GCACAGTTTCCACAGAGTGAGTGAGTGAGTGTTCGTGGGCGGAATAGCCTACAACGTATGTATGATATCAAGGCAGTTCTCGCTTTCTGTCGGAATAGATTTCCGCCGATACCCCTTAGTTTCCGACACCCATATGTTCTGACAACTCATGTTCTGACAACCCTAACCCTATTGGTAACATAGGGCTGTCTCTTAGATCATAGATCTTTGTAATAACTCTTATCAACATCACAATGCCAATCTAGGGGAGACTGTGGTCAATGGGTGCTGCATTGAAACATATGGAAAAACAGGCATAAAAATGGGCATCATATCTCACCTTTACGAAGTTTTAGTGACACAAACTCACCTTCATATGTTAGCCCATTTATTAAAATGGACCTACAAGAAGTTTCGGGAAAAAGTGGACGGCGAGAATCGAACTACAGCTGTTCTACCAAACACAGGCGCACTTTGACCCCATATTCCAGGTTGATTCCAAAGTGGTGAGCAGGAGGGGTGTGTGCCAACAGAAAAGCCAATAACAAGGCAACTTTATGGAAAACCTCCATTTTTTTGCAAAAACATTCACTCAAAACCCTACTTTGTACAATCCACCACAAAAATGCCAAGGATTCAACAAAATTTCCACCAAAAAACGGTTTTAAAGTTATTTAGCTCATTTTAATTTTCCAGCAACTTGTGCGCATGCCCTTCAACCCGCGTCACCCCTCTAACGTGCACAGACTCCTAAGGAGCTTTTTCAAGTGCTTTCTGTATCAATGTTTTATAGTGTCGATGATTGCATCTAAATGGACTCTAGCTCAAAGGTACACTGTTCCAACAACTCTTTGTCGGATTTTAAGGGTGTCAGAATGTACCTGTATCAGAATATAGGGGCATCAGAACATGGGTTGCGCTGCAGAACTATGTCGGAATATGGGGGTGTTAGAATGTACGGGATCAGAATATAGGGGCACCAGAACATGGGCTGCCTTGAAAAAAGTGAATTTTGCATGTGTTTTACAATATTATGTATAATTGCATGCTTGCATGCAGAATGACCAGCCTGCAGACGCTAGTGCCTCGGCTGCAGCCCTGCCCACCGCTAATGCATGCACACCTGCCGGCACCAGCATGCACCTGGCAACACCTGTGTACCCCTGGTGGCAGTACCAGCATGTGCAGATCGGCACCCTGTTCAAGGACCGGGTTTTCGTCCGAGGCTTCGACCCAGATGTGAGTAGTGACCGTAAAACAAGTCTGGGTCACACAAATTCATCTTCTTGGGTATTTTCAAGTAAAACCAAATTCTATGGCAATCACTCAATATCTTTATTTGCAATCAGATACAGATCCATGTACAGATATACAGTTACAGATTTTCCGAGTATGATCGTGTCAGTCCCTACATGGAGGGTTGACACGGTGGATTTGTTAACAGGATAACAGGTTAAAACCAAAAAGTGGTCACATTGGCTGATAACATATTACTAGTACAGGTGTCACTGTGTGTATGGTAGACTTAAGATTTTTTGTATTATGATATCATAAAAATATTAATACATTTGTACAACGTGAAAGCTTGCTTAACTGTTTGAGTATGTTGTCAAAGTAAAATCTCTCAGGTTCTGTTATATGAATCTCAATTCAAAGGAACTCGACCTCATGTACAGTTTGATATCTTGTGCCATATTGTTTTCTGACCGCAGTGCTCAGAGCAGGAACTGAGAGAATTCTTCACCCAGTTTGGGGCAGTCCGAGACACAAAGATCATTGCTGATAGGGCAGGGGTCAGCAAGGGGTGAGTTTAAGGAATTTCAGCATTCTCATATTAAAGTTTAATAATGTATTTTACTTCTGGAGAGCACAGATGGGAGTGTGTACCTAGCTTAGGTGGTAGCGTAGGGTAGTGGTGCCCTCTAAGAGCAAATATAAAGGTAGACCTGGTCCCATTTTGAGTATAGCCACACTTCATAGCCTGAGTACCATCCGGATTTTTGTTATGCAATGCAATGCTCGAAAATCCGGATGGTACCCAGGCTAACACTTAGAGCAACCTGCCATACTCATTGATAAGATTAGGCATTTGCCCTAGTACATACAGTCAACTGTTACAGTAACTGTATTTTGGACTCAACACACATTGTGACCATATAAGACAGGGCAGGCAAGTGGTGGGCAATCCCTGCCTGTGCATTGGGAGTCCAAAATCCTGCTAAAGAAGGTCAAGAAGCAGCCAAGATGACTTGCTTTCCCCAGATAAGATCAACAGGTGTCCTCAGCTAGGGTCACAGCCAGTTGAAGACTTTATCACTAGTGTAAACTATATCACATTACAAGTCATGTAGTACATGTGTTACAACAAAGACAGTCCATTTAAACTGCTGATAACCTCCAGATAAAGAGATAAACTGTTTGATCCTGAAGAAAGCCAGATCTAGGAGACTTAAAATCCCTCCACATCATGGTTAATGACCCGTGAAATGACTTCTCCTGTTACTAACAGGTACATGTCATTGCCTAATGGCTAGTGTTTGTTCCATGTACCTGCAGCTATGGGTTTGTGACCTTTGACAGCCAGGAGGCAGCAGACAAGGCACAACAGGTGAATCTACTTTCTAAATTGTTGGTTTTCAGCCAGACATTTCAAAGTAAAACTACTGTAGCTAAACTAGCTAAACCAGCTTGAATGTTGTTTTTTTCACCTCAATTGTATTTGATGATCATGTCAAGAGCCTAAGGCTGGAGGAATGACAATCCTAAGCGTCTGACGGAAAGACAGATTGACTATGGACTAGATATCATTATAAGGAAAAGTAATACATGTATTCTTTGCTATAATCATTTGAGGCATTATCTACCTGTTCTTTTTGACATGTGATCCTTTTTTTTCTGACAGAATGACAACCTCATGTTCAAAGACAAGCGATTGAATGTCGGCCCAGCAATTAGAAAGCAGGTAAGGAGCTTTTCATGGCTAAATGTATTTAAACAGTATAGACATTCAAAGAAATAAGAGGATTGTTTTTTCCTCTCCTAATTGTATGTTTTACGCTGTACTGAACTGAAGTCAAGATATGAAGTTATATTTTGTTTAAATATCTTTTTATTGCACATGTACCTTAATGTCTTTGTTCCTTATCTTTTAAGGCCCCATCACTGCCATCACCATTCAGACCAGGTAGGCATTGTCCAGTTGTCCAACTTGTTTGTACTGAACTAAACTAAGAGATCGTGTACAGACAAATAGTTTGCCAAGACATAAGGCCATGATGAAAAGGAAAATTATGTTGTCAAAACTAACCAAGATTACTTAAGGGACTGATAATAAATTCTGGTCTATGTGGCTGATGGTTGCACTTAATTTGGACAAGGTGCTTGTGTCATTGAGAAAAATTATTTAAGGGACCAAAAAAGGCATCACATTGGCCATGTGGTGGTTATCTAGAGGTGGCTACTTGTATATGTACACTGTATTACATGTAGCTCGACAGTTCTGTTTTGGCAAAATTCATTATGAAATGCAATGCTTATCTTACTGTATTTACCAGTGTGAATCATGTATTTTAATGCATTGTTTTGTTTGTTTGTTTAGAGTCTTCCTGTTCCCCTTACCTGGTGGACATTGGTCCCGGTNAGGCATTGTCCAGTTGTCCAACTTGTTTGTACTGAACTAACTAAGAGATCGTGTACAGACAAATAGTTTGCCAAGACATAAGGCCATGATGAAAAGGAAAATTATGTTGTCAAAACTAACCAAGATTACTTAAGGGACTGATAATAAATTCTGGTCTATGTGGCTGATGGTTGCACTTAATTTGGACAAGGTGCTTGTGTCATTGAGAAAAATTATTTAAGGGACCAAAAAGGCATCACATTGGCCATGTGGTGGTTATCTAGAGGTGGCTACTTGTATATGTACACTGCATTACATGTAGCTCGACAGTTCTGTTTTGGCAAAATTCATTATGAAATGCAATGCTTATCTTACTGTATTTACCAGTGTGAATTATGTATTTTAATGTTTTGTTTTGGTTTGTTTGTTTAGAGTCATCCTGTTCCCCTTACCTGGTGGACATTGGTCCCGGTTCCCAGTCCTTTGTGAACAACCGGAGTCTGCCTTACGGGTACATGTGTCCTGACAGCTTCCTGCCTCAACAGGTATGGAAGTATCATTACCTTCCACAAAAATCTTTTGTGACAATGTTTGTAACAGTGTTTGTGGTTGAACAGCATAACCCGAGAATCTATAGATGGATTGATATTAAATTTGGCATGTGGTTAGGTGTTTATGAATTATGATAATGATTTATTCAGTTTCAACCTCAACTGTAAAGTCCTTCCACTTTGCAGCTGAAAGGCTTATATAAAGTTACTTTCATATGTATGATTTGCCATTAAAAAGTACTGTATTACTATTCTAGTACAATTATACCTGTACCTGATGTTATGTTTAGGTGTGCACTCCTAGTAGCGTTACCTTGTAATTTTGGTGAAGAGATTTTTTCATGTACAAAAGGAGCCGTTGATGTGTTAATACTGAACATATCATGGTGCTACATACACTTTTGTTGAATGAAATATTACATTTCTTCTGAACACAGACAGTAGTTGGTCCGTCCGTGCCTCCATCGTTGAGCCCAGCTCCCATCATGTTGCCGGCGGGACCTCCAGCCCACCAGCCGTGTAACATGTACGTGCCACAGGGCCAGCCACACCAGTCTTACTACCCAAACACTGTGAGTAACAAAGAAGCAGAGATTGTTTTGATCTATTTGTTTTATGTCAATAAGTGTTCTAGCCAGTCTGAATTTTTTTCATCCTCTAAATTTTGTTTGATGTAATATGTTGAGCACTGAAGGCTGTGCAACAATCCTAACAGGAAAATTTTGAAACATCGACCATCTGACACGCTCATAATATCCTGCATTTTGAGGGTCAAATTTCCCCAAGCATCAACATCAAGCCATGCAGTGCATCCAAGGATGACTTCCACAATCTGTTTTGATACAAAGCACGTTACCTTACTTTGCCTTGTATTGTACAGCACATTACTGAAGTCATTGTTTCAGCACTTTTGCTTTTTACTCTGGTACACAGAATCTAAATTGAAATGTCTTGAGGCCAATCTAACAATTAACTTCAGGTCCTACCAAGGGGGAGTGATACAGCCTCCGAAAGTTTTACTCCCCCAGTTTTGTGAAACCCCAATTAGCCAACAAAGGTTTTATTCAACAAGTCTGACTTTCAGCAACTTTTCTAGCTGACAAAGATGTATTACTGGTGCCCTTGTTTCCTTGAAAGGTTATGGGAGAAACCTGTAGGTATAATATAATGAAACACAACCACAGGGTGTGTATGCCATGCTTGAAGAGAGGGGTGAAAGAGGAATAAGAAAGGAATATTATAGCCTGGGTGATAAACTGTTTCCAGGGCCTATACAGGACAGCCAGCTCCTCTGTACTTTGACTTTTTAACATTTTATGGTAACCTTTTCTGTTGCACACACTCCAGGCTGCAGGCCAGCAGTACAGTACATCTGGCAGGGAGTGGGCTCCACAGGTAAACTTTTAAAAGTTTTACTGCACTAAAATCTCTTTGGGTGCCCTTCAAGTATGTGGTAAACAAACAAATAATTATCTACTATTGTGTTTGAATCCCTGTCCTGTTTTCCTTGTAGTCTCCCCCAGCTGCCATGCAGGCTCCCCAGCCCGTGACCTTTGATGGCTACGGTCCTGTGTACCAGGAGATGGTTCCTGTTGAGATGGTGAGTGTGCTTATGCAGTAGTTTGTTTGCGGCCTAACTTTAGCTGTCTAAAGCCACTTTAGCCATGCATGACAGCTATTCTTCCAGGATTCCAGGAGAGGGTAGTTGCATGAACAGATTTCTATCAAATGGTACAAAGTCTGAAGTTCTAGTTCGTTTGTATGGTCTCAGATGGGAAGAAATGTACATTGTTATTAATGTTAAGTACATGTGACGTATCGCGTATCTGTGAGATGGAAGTTCAGCACTAAGGACAGGTACCTGGTATTGTCTAAAGCCTTAGTAACTTGACAACAGAGTATCTCAGGTGTCTCATCAAGCATTACAAAGGTATTGTGTTAGATCCAAAAATGTCTCATATTGGTTTCATTTCGATTTACTGTTTGTTATATTTTTGTACAGTCCTCCTTCCCCCCAGGTCGTGTTGTGATGACAGCGCCGAACCTGCCTCCAGAGGCTTCTGGGTACATCTCCATGTCGGGAGTACCCATCATGCAGCAGGTACAGAAGGTGAACCCGCCGCCTGTACAGCCTCCACCTCCTCCTGTCTACACTCAGGTAAAAACTTACATGTGTTACGTCTGTTAAGGTTAGACATCCAAGTAATATGATATGCCAAAAAACAGTTACTCAAAGCAACTGGATATGATTTTGGAAACGGTCAGACATTTTAGGTACCTTTCCTCAGTGACACTAGGAGACCAGGAGAAGTGCAGGTTGATAAGCTACCCGGTAACACATTATCCAGACTATACCTCGATTTACACTTGGGCAAAAACCTGACGGTAGAAAAACTGCATACACACAACCATATGGACACTGAAATTCTTCAGCATGTAAATCGGGCTGCTTTGACATGTGAAGAATCCAAGTTCCGATTGTGCAATGGCCCTTGATGTAAAAAAGTAGGTCGATTTACACTAAGTTTTAGTGACAGAAAATCTTGAGTACCCTTTAATGCCCCGTTTGTGTGTTTGCACTTATAAAGACATGATCCTTTTGATGGATTTGTTTGAATTTTAGTATGCAATTAGTAGTTGGGCTCCCTTAGTAGCTGATGTAGTTTTAGATACTGCACCCGTCTTTTGTTGGATCTGAATTGCATTGCTGTATTTCCATTTCTACAGCACACCAGGAGACACACGAACTTCCATGGCCCTCCCCCGACGCGCAGATTTCCTAGAATCGGCACGGGACGCCCCCGATGCATGCCGGTGCGACCTGTCATGGAGGCAGGGAAGTCAGCCCCCCAGGAGGGACAACCAGTCCCCACCCTAACCCCCCCTCCTACCCCTACCCCCTCCATCAACAACTAGTACCCCCCTCTGTCAACAACTAGTACATCCACCAGTGTTTCAGATAGAAACAAAACTACAGTCAAACCTGTACTGATGATCACCTCCACGTAAGGACCATCTGGTCAATGTGACTGACCACATTTTGCTTGTCCCTTAGATACTATTTCCCTTTGACACAAGCATAAAGAATCCTGTCTATAGTGACCACCTGTCCACATCAGCCAGATTTTATCGGTCCTAAGTGGTCTTCTTGGGCAATTTGACTGTATAACTTTTTTCGTTGTGGAATTGGCTCTGTGTTCAACAAATTGTTGGTCTTTTTTTGTAAGGGCATGGCATATTGCCAGAATGACATGTACTGACGAACATTTATTGAAGTCAATACAATGTGTCAAATGTGCTATTAGAGTTGTCCTATTGTGAATTTATGACCCTGAAGAACACAATATTACGTGCCATGTAGTGACTGTGCATGCCCAAAACCTTTCATGTGTAAAAGGGAGTTTGCTGTTGTAGCATCACCACTTGTGTATCATCATCACTTGTGTATTTTGTGAGAAAAGAAGTGCCTTCAAAATATGTTGTAGTTTTCTTCACACAGAAGATACTGACTCAGAGTAAGCCTAGTTAACCTCCATTGTTTAACGGTTGAGGTATATATACATGTAGTAAGATAAAGATATTAGGGTAAGTACAGACAACTGTTCGTCTGCATTTTGACTCAGTGCTATCATAGCACACGCCTGCCTTCTAGAAAGAGTAGTCTTGGTTGTTGCTATATATACGTTTAATAGCAAAGTTCATGTTTCTGTCATGTTATCCATATACACTAGACTTTGTGTTCTTATTGTTAGTCTTACTTCAATTGTATTGCAGTACAGATACTGATATTTTCAAATATCGGAACAGATGATGTAGGTGTAAATGAATGCATGGAAATTATTTCATAGCCATGGAAATTCATGTTCTTTGTAAATGATAAATGAAACAAATCCTTATGTAATACAAATCTAGCTTTTAGATTACATCTAATGAGTTGTAGACTCAAGTTTGAGTAAATGGGTAAATTTTCATTTGAGTATTTGATAGTGTAGAGTTGTCATCAAGGCATATATACTAATACATGTGTGTAGTAATCAAGACTGATGTGCTATCATGAGCAATGTTTGTATGTATCTAGAAATAGGGATTTTTTAAACCCCTCTTCATCACATTGTGTTCGCTAAAGAAACTAGCCATTGTTTACGTGGATCCATGTAACTGGCAAAATGGCATCAGACTTTTGATATATATATATTATGACCCATTCTCATTTTAGTGGTGATTTCAAGCCATATTTTAAGATTACATCACGAGACTACAATCGTTTAGTCAATGACAATGTGTCATTTGAAGATGTCTCTTCAAAGATTTTTTGAAAAGTCTATAAGAAAAGTTCTGAGAATGGTTGAAATTTGAATAAAGATTAGTTCAAGAAGATACTGCTGATTTTTTCTTATCTATACAATATCTTGCAAGCTACTTTCTCTGAGATACATAGATGCAAATGTAGTGCTCATTCAGAGCATTCTTCATGCATGTGCCTGAGATTTCTAGAATATGTGTGACTAAACAAGTCTTTTAAGGCCTTTTAAGTCAACAATAGAGTCTACAAGCCTAGGGATGAAAGATTACATGAATTACCAGTTTACTTAATTCAACTCAGACTTCTCAAGTGAAAAGACAACACCTCAGTTCCTTGCAAAATTTACTTTTATTGATGAAAATCACTTCATAATCACCTGTACAACATGAAGCAATCTGCCTCGTTTACACATGAGGTAGAAAAAAAATGTGATTCTAAGTTCCATTCATAACGAACAATTTGTACAAAAGGTATGCTACAATGTTGTCTGTCTACAAATCTTCCTTCTTAGAAAAGCAAGCAGCATTCATTCAATCGTTGGAGAATGGAGCATTGAAAAAAAAGTCCTCTCCAGCTTTATGGCCAATTCTCTTTCCACAAAACATTCCCACCAATCCAGTAGTACTCAACACATGAAATACCACCTGCATATGCAGGTTACGGTAGGTACCGTAACATAATATTGGAGCTGTGTAGGTAGTTATGTTGTCTACCTGCACCAGTCCTAAGAGACATTCTGTTACAAAGCAGATTACAGAATTTCCGATGGAACCAGGACTACATTTGTACATTCAAAAGTTTTCTGGACCAAAAGGAATAGAGTGATCCAAGTAGAATTTTTAATTTTTTTTTTTTAATAAGGTTATTTTGAATGTTGAAATGCAGAGAAAAATGTATTTCAAGCCCCGAGTACATTGTACATAACTGGATTCCCTGTACCAAAATAGTAACATTGTTACTAACAATTGTATATCTTAGTGGCTCTTACATTCAATACAAAAGGCACAGTTAAAAGTGTGACTTTGTAAAATGAAGCTGCATTCGCTCCCTAAAATGGCATCCACTTCTCAGTTGTAGATTCAAGGTTTTGCTAAAATGTCCTACAAAAAGGCTCGGACTAAGTTTCCCTATGATAATATTTCAGATAACTATGAATCACTAATTATAAGGATTCTAATGATTGCATTATATACAGATTGATCAAAACTATGTACTATGCAGCAAAAGATATTGATTACTTGTTAACATCGGTCTTAAGTGATTGACAATTATCATTTCTATCGTGAATCATTCTTTCATGGGACTATTTTGATAAGATGAAAGATGTCTACATTACTGTATACTTTCTAAAAAGGTAGAAAAATTGTCTAGTTTCTAAGTAGTTATCTATTGTCACACTTGTGTAGGATGGTATGGCTGGCATACATTCAAGTTCAGAATCATTTACCTTCTCCCTACTGCCTAAGCCCCTAACCAATACAAATTTGAGACCAAAAAGCTACTATAGCAGGGGGAGGTTTAGGGAAACTACCCTAACCTTGACTAAATGACCCTGTATCTTTTCTTTTTATAATATACAAAACCACCTTTGTTGAAGAACAACCAATTGACCTGTTCCATGATTGTCCAGTCACTTCCAACAAAAACTCAACTGAATTCCAAACAATGGAGGAAATGGAAGTTAGTAGTACATGACAAAAAACTCTGGAGGAGTGCAGTTTTGCTGACTGATACAATGTGGGTTGTTGGGGAATCTGACATCTAAGGTAAGGTGTAATATCAACTGAAAGCTTATATAACAGGAAGCAATTTTACAGGGTAATGATCAAAACTGACCCACTAAATGATGTACTAAAGCTAAGATTGTATTAGGGCACTGCTTGAGTTTTTCCAAATTGTAGAAAAAATTCTCATGACAATTTGCTACGATGTGGGTAACAGAAAAAAGTATTTTTGACCCCCAAACAAAAAGTTACAACCCAAGAGGAATGATTCTGAGCAACAATGGTGCCATGGCTACACATCAACAAACACAATTTTAAAGGGTGCGACAAATTTGTCCTATTCATCTGCAGGGAGGGCGCTCATCCCCATGTTGTCCTCTCCCTCAGCTTTTCCGTCCACTGCCATGGCCACGTCAGTGTTGTGAGACGGTCGGCGAGCAATCAGAGGTTTCCCGTACCGACGTGGCGTCCCTGGCTTCCTACGTGAAACAACCACGTGCAATAACTGTACCCAGAACAGTGGTACCAACTAAAATATATACCCATACCTCAACGAACAAGCAAACATCTACCAAACAAATAACCTTCTTGGCAATGGTAATGAGGAAAATCAGGAGCTAGAATATTCTTACAAGGCTCTAACACATTGTTGATATGAAAACAAGCTGCTAGGGGATCCAAACTCGTACTACTTGTATAGTATATCCCATTGGGGTTTTTCTGAAGGACAACCCAGAGTTTCCTTTCAATGCTTGTTTACATTTGCATTGTTCCTGAGAAGTGTTTGGATTTCAAATCCTTTTCTTTGGTCGTGCCTGTCATGAATATGAAAGGCTGTCTTCCAGACTTCTCTTCTCTTTACATGTAAATTTATGGCAGGAAATGCTTTACTGTCAGGATGCAAAAGTCCCAGTGATCGGCAAAAAATTGCCACAGGTTTTGTTCAAGATAATAACCTTATTGGTGTGAGGTACCCGTAGGTTTTCTGAGTAATCTGGAACCATGTAGTTTTTGAGCCGGCTGAAACAGTCGCAGGGGTCGTAAGTAAGGAAAATTGTTCTTGATGAGGAAAAGAAACGTTAATTTGCCGTAAAAATTGCATTACAAAACTGGAGATTTAATAATAAAAAAAATTGAGATGAATTTCATGAAGATATGAAAGAAGGTGCAAACAAAGAGATTAAAGACTATAACCTCCTTGGTGCAAATTTGCAAACTTGATGCATATATTTCGCATTAAAACTAGACTCTCTCTTTCTTGGCCTGGCTTCATTGTCAAAGATTCAGGGGCCCAGAATACTCTACTACACTTTGTTGTGACAGATCATGATTGTTATACTTTTTCCTTCATATTTTGCAGACTGACTCTGTGCAGGGTACCGTGGGTTCGCCCATCCCAGCCTCGACCCCTTCCACAGAGGTGACGTCTCCCACCACTGGGCCCAACACCTACAAGTACAAGATTCCCTCTGGCACCAAGATAGATGGACGGATTTTTGTGGGGGGAGTGACAGCTGGGGTGAGTACCTATCTTACCATCAGTTCTCAGCAATTTGATTTACTGGTTCTCAGATATTTTGTATGAAAGCAAATCCTGAGGACCATGTTTTTGCAGTGATGCATTTAGATACTTGCAGTGAATACAGTAATATTCAGGCTTGCCTGCCAGCTCTGTCCATTTTATGTCTATTTGCTAGGAATGCACTCAGTTTGCTCCACAGTATCCGATGATAGGGTGTACAATAGAAATTTTGAGGTCATATGGGACCAGTTATGAATGGGTCTTTACAGACCTCAGCTGTATCCTACAAAACTCAGCTGTCCTGTGGCCGGGGTGCCTGTGTGTAGCCTGTGTGTATAGTGTGCCGTGAGCCTGGCATCCAGGCCTGCTGTTGTGTGGTGGAAACATTTTTGGAATAAAGTCCTTATTATTGGTGGCCAGTTATGTAATTTTCTTATGTTAACTTGTCTCTGACTTATCTCAATTTTATATATGCTGCCATTTGTGTTGTAAAATGCAGCATTATGAAATTGAGATAACTTTTAGACACTATCTTCTCTTCTGGTTGCAAATGTCACCACTGTCCTGTTTTTTTTATTATAAGTATTTTTATGTTGTGGCAAACTTCTAGATTAAATTAAGTATCATAGAAATGAGTAAATATAAATGACAAAATTCCTCTCAGGTTTTAGATTGGCAAGAATGCTTGATAAATCCCCTCATCTGTTCCTTATTCTTCCAAATGTTATTTTTGCGTGTATAGTGAAAGATTTATAGCTGTTTTATCTACCATCTGCTGAGGAGACAAGGGTCATTGCAAGCTGGTCATGTAGGCCTGATTCAGAACAGATATGTCACCTAAATGGGAGGAAATTCCACCAATTCGTTACCCTTCTTCACCCATTTGTCAGGAGCCGGAAGCCACAGCCCACACAGGCCAACTCCTTGGCTCCACAGCCAACATGCCACCAAGGGAAGTTTGCCACAGCCTTGAGTTACACCCTGAGCAACAGTCTAACTCAGGGGTCTCCCCAGAAATTCTAAGGGTAGACTAGAGGTGCCCCCCTATCAGTTGATGAAAAATCAGCAAATTGTCATGGAAATGCTGAGAGAAAACCCTAAATTTGAAAATTTTGGAAGAGATGCTAGGATTTGGGGGATAGGGGGAGTACCCTTGCTTCGCTTGGGGAGAGCCCTGCTAACTTGCGGGACAGTGGCATAATTTTCCTTGGCAGTGTATTGGTCCTGTAGCAGAGGATCTGACCTTTGCAGGCCCTATAAGCACTGTCAGGCATGCTTATAGTATGTATTATGCCCACAGCTGTCCAGAGCTTGAGCAAACCATGTCCTCATGTGGCACAAATTAGTTTTATGTTTGGCCATTAAATGGCTACTTTCATCTTGATGGTTATCTTTGATAGATAAGAAGATTCTTTAGTGGAATGTCAACTGTTGCAGCAATACATGGTGAA